AGAGGGCCCCCTGCCTGTCTTTGCCTAGGGCCCTAAATTTCCTAAATCCTCCCCTTCTTGTCACATTTCTACGTGTCATTGGTGATTTAATTCAGAGGGATTCTTTTTTTCAGCCACAAAATCTCTTTAAGTTGCAGTGATCATCAAAGGGAGACCTAGAATAATGCTTTAGGCTTTGATTTGATGCAGGAAACTAGGGTTTCAATTTGCTTATTGGGTCACTTTTCCTATTACAAGCCAGTCAAGTACAAATATACATTTTAAAGTTACATTTATTTGCCTTTAGATTGAAAAATAAAAGACTCAGACTACAGTTAATGAGCATAATGTCTTTGCAATGGAGATAAAGACATAAGCTCCTTAGGTTTTCAGTGTCATGAGGTGATTCTCAGGCATAAATGTGTGCAAAGAACAGGCAGTGGAGTCCAAAGGTTAGAGGGCATGGATCAATAGCCACCTTCACGATATTGGGAACCCCTTTGGTAAACTCTATCTGACTGCTGGCGTCACAGAGGGCTCCAGCAGCTGGTATGAAATCTATAATCCCTGCCAAATCCCTGTAGCTACGATGCAGCAATTATGAGAGTGCTGCTGAGGCAGTAATAGTAGGAAGGGACAAACACATATGTAGCTGTCACACAGAATCTCAGTGGCCATCTAAAGGTCTCCGGCCTAAGGCAAACAGGTTGTCTTTCAGCATCAGCTGAAACAAGCAGGGGGTGCAGGAATATCCACCGGCATTCTCGACCGAGTGTAAATAGCAGAAGACATCTCAGTCAGTGAGCTTATAAGCCTGCAGGAGTTTGGTGTTGATCCTTGCTGCTGCGGCTAAAACAAAGACATTTTTTACTCTTTTGGCCATGTGCTTGTTCAGATACTTCTCTGTTACTCTTTAGGTGGTTTGGACAGTGAAAGCTGGCACTGTGAAGAGATGCCCAGGCTTAAAGCTCCCTCTAAGACTACGACTGTAGGTTAGTGTGACGCTGACGTAACAGTCAGGTCGGAAAAGAGCGTTATCTTGGAGCCATGTAGGCTAATCCCAATGGTTGCCAAGAAAGGTAAGGACACAGCAAAACCACCTTTGTGTGACCTTCGTTTGTGCACGCGTCGACCAATGAGTCACATTTCAGATACTCATACATAAGTAAACAGTTTGAAAAGCAAGCAGAGGCAAAATGCATGAACAATATACTGTACAGTGTATAGTTGCAGGGATTTGAATAATATTACATAATGGAGAGCAGCAGATCGGGCTTGTCCAAGAGCGTTTAGGTCGCCGTCCCACTTTGCTTTCCTGGAGGACTTTAAGCTGATTAAACCTCGGATCGTTTTGAATGTGAACTAAGCCCTTGTCCAGAGTTAACTCTGAAAAGATCATGCAGAGTACAAACTTTAACCTTGGATCTCTTTGATTATACGTCACTCATGATTAGAACGTTTACAGTCATAAAACGCAATGCAGTTAAAGTCTGGAATAATGATATTTGGAAAAACAGCCAAAGCTATGCACTAATAACCGCCCCTAAATCATCCTATTGACTACTACAAATTCACTGTCCTTGTTGAAGAGAAATATCCCCACAGCATGATGCTCTCACCACTATACTTCACTGTGGGGATAGTATGTCCAAGGTCATGCGTAGAGTCAGTTTCTTCTCCAAAGCCTTCTATCTGGTAATAAACTCACTAAGGTAAGTGATTTCTGAATTTTTTTACTGCCTTTTATGGAAGGAATCGAATTTAATAAAAAATACAAATGTTATAGAAAATTTCAGAGGGGTATAAATCTGTTAGAGTTTTCTTCCAAGGGGGCTATAAATTAAAAATAGACGTATACCAAAAACCAATCAAACGTATACTAAGATATCACACCAGTATATTTATATGAATGCCAACAACAAAAAACATTATAAAAACACCATATAAAAATAAAAACATAATTTCATGTACAGGTTTACTTTTTGTCCATAAATATTGCCCTTCAGAGGTTTTATGAAGGTAAGGTGTTTTGCATGGTCCATTATGGTGTAAGAAACCTAAAAAATAATGTACCAGTTTAATAATGAAGAAGCGATTAGTGAGCTTTATGTTTTTCTAATATATAAAAAAAAACTATTTATTTTCTGAGAATGTGTTTATTTAAGAGCAACTATGCAGATTAACAAACATCTAGAAAAAATAGACTATATTCTATTATTTTCCATGTGAATCCCAGATTGTTCATTCTTCTTTACCTTTTCTAAAAAGTGCTTTAAATCAGTCCTAGCTGTCTGTATCCATGCTGGCTCAGATCCTGATATTTGAAAGAGGAGCGGCAGGGAATGTAGGATAAAGCTTTAGCCTCGCTGCATGCAGTTAGCCAAGCCTTGTAGTTTAAACCAGGTCTTGGAAAAGGACGTTTCTAGCACCATTTCTCTCCCTCTCTCTCTCTCTCCAATGCGTCTCCAACGCGACTCGACCTGTCAGTCACCTGCAATACGTCTGCACTGTGGCGTGAGGTGGTGAGCAAACGCTTAGCTGCGCCCAGAGCTCTCCTAGGGCGGAAATATGTCACCAATCCAATGAAAAATGGAATGGGCTCCCTCTATTGGCCAGCAGCCACTGGTATGAATGCTTCCACACTATAAAGTGTCCACATTTATCATCTTTTCATTTGGATGTTTTCCCCCAGGCGTACCAAGCAACCGTTGTACGATTTTGTGAAGAGTTAGCAGCCACAGAAAGTGGGAAATACACCTCATCTAAGCACCGGCTGATAATGATTTAAAGAACCACATTAGGAGCCATAAAGTGAAGTAATTGTCTCACTAAAGATGCTGTTGTGGAGAATATTTTTCTTTTTTATACAAGTTTGAACAGATATCCTCACATTTGACCTTAAAAGAAGCCAGAACACATTTGTCTCTGTGGAATGAGACACCTCATTCCAAAAAAAAAGTTAAAAACAATCCACTGGACTTTTCCAAGTTTGAAGACGTTTCGCTTCCCATCCAGGAAGTGTTCCCAATTCAAAATGTCAGAAATAG